TGTCAAACACCGGAGGGTTTGCCTGTCGTGTCGTTCTTCCCTACAATCTCCTGTGACTCTCAAACCTGACTCAGATCTGATCCCTCCATCTGCAACCGTGTACTTAGTGGTGTGATACACAAGGCATGACAGTGGCTAGAGCACTATTATTAAAGAGAGATTAAAGCAGCTGAACATTATGCTGAAGTACTCACTCTTCCCTCTGCAAACAGACGGTCATGGATTACAAGCAGCACTTGACCATTTAAATCACGACAACCACCAGATTTAACCAGCTGGGCCATATTCTCCTAGCGCTGCCTGTTGACCTCCTCAGTCACAGCTGCTCAAATGAAATTCTCATTAGACATCTTATTTTCAGAAGCCAAAGGACTCTCTGATTAAATATATGTATTTAGATATAGAAGTCCTTTTTAAAGTATTCATTTTCTGACAACTGTCGCTTATGTTAGAACCCAGTTACGCTGGCAACAAGATGGGTGACACAAGGATAACTAGAACTCATCATTTAATCACAGCTGAAGGATTTTTATCTTGGAAGCATTTTAACCAGACTCTATTAATCAAGCCTTCCATAGCTCTGCCCCAGTATCAACAGTGTTTTAACGGAGGTTCTAACAGTCAGTCCTTCCCCCACCCATCATACCGTTCCTACCTCCTTCCTATTTGTCTATGTATGACACTAAACCAAAGTTAAAGTCACAAAAGGCAGAACCCTCCCCCATCTTCCCGTCAGCCTCACTGTTAGAGGGAGCACTTCTGACAGAGCACCACTGATCATCAGTGTCCCAGCAGAGCAGTGCTTCAGGAAGGGACAGTAATTTAGTGGATCAAAGAATCTGCATGAAAAGTTGCTGGCTTATCATGTAAAGGTTGACTGAAAATGAACAATAGTAAACTTCATATAGATCAGCTTTTGCATTAGGAGGAAATGGAGGGAAGGTATTGAATTTGATAGATGCAAAACGTCTGGGACATAAATGACTCAGGAAAGGGCATCGTTAACTATGTCATATGCAAAAGCTTGCCAATCAGGTAATCCTAAATTATGACCCTCAAACCATGACACAGAAGTAAGGGAGGCAGTGGTGATGTGTGTGAAACACTCTTCAATGTCCCATGAGTGGGGGCATCTCCCCACTGAGGATATAGACCTGCAGCTTTGAAAGGCCAAAGTCAAGGGAATGGTGATGGAGCTTCTCTCTTTCTGAGACCTAGAGTATAATTATTATAGAAACATAAATATAGACTCAATTTTAATGACCTCTCCTGTGTTTATTTTGTACTCTGATTGTATTACTCTGTCTTATTGTTGCCAGAAGATAATTATGACTGTTACTCAGAGCTGGAGAGAAGAGATGGTTAAAGCACTGGCCACACAAGTGTGAGGACCTGAGTTCAGATCCCCAGAAATCATGTAAACGCTGGACAGAGCAGCACCTGCCACCCCAGTATTCCTGTGGTACAGTGAAAAGAGGAGGCTGGAGAATCCTTGGAAGCTCACAGGCCAGCTACCTGGTGTTCACAGCAGCCAACAACAGAGGCCCTGCTTCAAGCAAGCTAGAAGGTAAAGGAGATTCCTGGGGTTGTTCCCTGACCCCCACATGCAGACTGCGGCATGTGCCCTGCACTCAACACACATGAACGTGCACATGCAGAGATTTTTAAATGTAAGGTTCAAACTCAAAACAAAAAAACTTAGAATAAAAAAAAATTTTAATGTATAAAAAAAACTTAGAATTAAGGGGCTGGAGAGATGGCTCAGCGGTTAAGAACACTGACTGTTCTTGCAGACGACCTGGGTTCGAATCCCAGCACCCACATGGCAGCTAACAACCGTCCGTAGCTCCAGTCCCAGGGGATCCGAGAGCTTCTTCTGTCTTCTGCAGGCATTGAATGACATAGGTGCACTTACCTACATGCAGGCAATACATGCATACACATAAAATAAAAATAATAATATATTTTTTAGAAAATACTCAGGATAAAAATAGAAATCATCCCTGCTCCCCTTTTCAAACCATATGTCCACTTCTTTTTTATTAATTGTGTTGCCACTACATTATTTACCCAGAATTTAAACACATATCTGAGCTATTGTGAAGACTCCTCCTGGCTTCCACACTTAACAGCATCCAGTCGCCCCCCGTCCTGCTGTCTTTCCCGTACACACTGCTCCTTTCTCATTTCTGCTTTCGTAGTTCAGGTACTCTGATGTGTCTCCCTGCCCCCATCTATCCTACACAATACTGCCAGGTTGGCTTTCCCAAAGGAAAGTTCTAATCCAACACCTTATTGGGCTGAAAGGTAGCCAGTGGTTCCTCCGTCACCTTCAATATAAAGTTCAAATTCTTTAGCCAAAAATTCAAGGTCCTTCATGATACCAACACAGCCTAGTTTTTCTGTTTTATAGCCCATATGGAAATTCTCCTCGTTAGAACCTGAACAGTTGGCTATTAAAGTGCTATGCTGGGGATGGAGAGGTGGCTCAATGGTTAAGAGCACTGGCTGTTCTTGCAGAGGACCTGGGTTCAAATCTCAGCCCTCATATGGTAGCTAACGACCACCTGTAAATCCAGTTTCAGGGGATCCAGTGCTCTCTTCAGTCACCCGTGAGCATTGCATAACACTCCATGACACGGGTGCACTTACACACATGCAGGCATAACACACATACACATAAAATAAAAATAATTAGTTAATTAAAGTGCTATGTCTATTCCTTCAGTTTGAAATGTCTCTCCCCTCCAATTCCACCTATATAACTCCTTTTGTTCTCTAAGACTAGTTAGGACTCATTTCCCTGTAGAACCCATCCATGGCTTCCTAGGTGGTAGCAACCCACTTTATCTGATAAATTACCCAAATATTCTATCTGCATAGCTTTCGTGGAGCCTAGCACTGTTGAACTTTGAAACAGTTTCACTTGATGTATAATTTGTATCTTTTGCTAGAAATGAACTGTTTACAGTTAGAAAGTATCATCTTATTAGTTATAAATACATCGTATCATCTAGCATTGGGGTTACCAACCTGGGGTCTACAGACACCAAGAGACATGGATAGACAGAATGCAGATGTTCTGTGGACTTAGATGAACAAATAACCTTTTCCCACTAATCTCAGATTGAAATTTTTCATTTCCTTAAGTTGCGGGTATAAGCATCAGACTATTTTGGATGTGCTATTATCACCACTAGCAGTGGATGGTTCTGTCCCACACTGCACTTGTTAAGACATCTCAAGACACTGGTTGCAGCATCTCTACATCAGAATGGCACAGCTGGGACCATGCTGGATCTTATTTGCTATATCTGTAAATTGGCTCATTCTAGCTTATCACAAATTTTTTAATTATTTAGAAGTTTAATAAAATCCTGTACATTTGACTTTTATATTTACCACAATACTAAGAAAGGAGATATAAACTTCACAAGACTGTCAAAGGGATTCATAGACAAAACAAAACTCTAAAAGGGCAGAAGAGTCGGCAAAAAGTTCAGACACTGAGGATCAGGTTTGTTACCCAGAATTACTCATCAGTCCACCCAAAACATACTTGTTCATATTTTACATTTTACCAGAATGTCCTGATCAGAGATTAATGGAAGAAATAAATTTGAAGTTATTTACAACTGAGAAAGAAATAAAAGCCTGCAATCCAATATTAAGGAACACACGCACATGTGCACACACACACACACACACACACACACACATACACTCTCACACATATCAAAAAAGATAGATGCATGCATTGGTGTGTAAAAGGTGCATATAGGTCCATGTATCAATCAGACCCAAACACTCTAAAGATGTGTAATTGAAGAGAAATAACCATCAAGCCAAGCATCCTAATGACCTCAGTGATCTCCAGGTCTGCTATTACGTTACAGCACAGCAGAATAATTGACATTTACAATACGATAATCATCACAAATACCTCAAGTTCACAGTCTACAGTTCATAGGAGACTGTTTTATCCATTATTAGAGTTAATTCTCAAAACGATTGAGTTCCCAAGTCAAGTGTTCATACCACAGAGTTCTGTGGCTCAGAGAGATTGAAGAACTTTCTCAGGGCCGCATTTAAGGGTAGGTGCTGCAGTCCTAATCTATTGCATTAGAATCTGAATCATCGAAAAAAGCCCAGGTTGTATGCCATATGATCCAGATAGAGGCAAGAAGAGCTTTTAGAAAGAGCACCACAAAAGATAGTTTAATCCACACGTTTGAGTCTTCAAAGTGTAAAATGGGAGCTGCTCTGATATCAAATCCCAGTTCCTGTGTAGTGTCACAGAGATCTGAATTCAACTTACAAGTGATACATCCAGAGGCAATTACGACCTGAAGTCCACAGATAAAGACATAAACATACACAATGTAGTAATCACATAGCAGTGATTTCTTTTGTTTAAAATTACTACTGGAGAGACTTGCTGCCTCTCTGTTCTCTGGGACCTCGGTGAAGCCACCTGCACGCCTGTCAGAAGGCAAGGGTGGGAAGCAGCAACGTGTGCCACATCAAAGCACTCAGCCTTGGACAGAAGGAATCAGCAGCTCACAACTCGACCCTCCAACATTTGGAGGTGAAAATAACATTTACAAATTTATAACATTCATAAAATGGAAGAGAAATTCATTGAAAAGAAATGTTTCCTTCCTTTTATATGGGTGATGCTCTTATAAACACTGTCTTCCAAAAGCAAATACAAGGGAAAACACTAAAGTTAGGAAAATTCCCTTACTACCTTTTTCCAGGGTAATGGTGAAGGTTAGTTTAAATCCTTGAGGTATTATTGTAAGAACCAAATAAAACACACAGAATTTGAGAAAACTAGAGCTTTCTGCTTACTCCTAATGGACTGCAGTCAGCTGTCACCATAGTAACCTCTGATTGACTGCTCAAGGCTAGTGGCACTTAGGCGCTCTGGTCCTTGGGCTCCTGGTCATTATAGCCTGGAATGGCTGGAAGGAGAACGCAGCAGGGATGTCACCTACCTTCCTGCTCTGTCCGGGTCATCTCCTCCAGCTTCTTCTGTTTCAGCGTGTCCACCACATCGGCAAGGCTCCCTTTGCGGCGTTCTGGGGTTCCAAAGGTAACACTGGTCATTATTTCGCGGTCCCGACTCCCTTCGTCAGGCTTGTGTGGTGAGGTAGACGTATTTCGGAAGGAATATAGGGAACATAACTTATTACTCTCTGACTCCTAGAAAAATAATTAAAACAAAAAGTCATTAGAACATAGGTTTCTCTGCAAACCACTCAAGAAAAATCCCTACTTAGAAGGATAGCTCATGATGACTAGTGGATCAATGAGCTTTACTAGCCAAATAAAGTGTAGTAACTCGCTCAGTGACACAAAACCACTAGTCTGATTAAGCAATGCTAAACTTCAAAGAAGCAATCAATTACCTGAGGAACTGATCTGAAATTGCAGGTTCTTGATGCTTAACTTTGGGAATGATGAAACCAAGTGGCCCTTAAATGGATGCTTCTCATACTCTTAATTGTTGAAAGTCCAGGCTGAGTGAATAATGACCATCACTGGTAAAGTTTCTCCTAACTCAGCACTTTTACCAGCAACACTCTTCCCAGAGCCCCCAAAACTCTACGCATCAAAAAAGACTTTTCTTTCATCAGAAACAGCAGAAGTTGGTTTAAGTGTCTGATGCTCACTACTCACTAGAATGCACATAAACCCTGTCTGGGTTCTTCTGTGTGATGAAGCTGGAGGAGAATCAGTCCAAGTCATGCACGTGTCCACGGTCACAGGTCACCTTTCCACTCCTCACCACCGAGGATTCAGTACATGGCAGCCCACTTTGCATGTAGCATTTTTAACTGATTTTTTTGTTTTTTGTTTAGTTTGGTTTGGGTTTTTGATTTTTTGAAACCTGGTCTGCCTATAGCTCCAGCTGACCTCAAACTCACTATGTAGACCAGGTTGGCCTTGATCTCACAGAGGTTCACCTGCCTCTTTCCCCAGGTACTGATATTAAAGGCATGCACCACTACATCCAGCTAGAAACCATTTTAACAAAGCTTATCACAGTCCTTAGTTCCAGCACCTGGGAGGCAGAGGCAGGTGGATCTCTGCGAGTTCAAGGTCAACCTGGTTTACATAGTGAGTTCCCGGCCAGCTGGGGATACAATGAGACCCTGCCTCAAAAAGACCCCCAAAAATAAAATAAATAAAAAGAAAGGTTCAATCAGTTGGAGAGGAAAAGCAATTTTGGGGTTGAAAAAAGGTTTTTTAAAAAAGGTTTTTTAAAAGAAAATGTTTAATATCTCTCAACCAGAACTGAGAGTTAGAGGCAACTGTTACAGGACGTGGCCTTCCAGCAGGTGTGCGCACACCTTATCTGAACAACAATATTCTTTTTTCCTGATTTAAAAAAAAAAAAGTGGGAGCCAAGCATGGTGGTTTATGCCCTTTAATCCCAGCACTCGGGAGTCAGGAGCCGGTGGAGCTCAGCTGTGGAGCATTTGCCTAGCATGTGCAAGGTGCGAGGTTTACTCGCCAATGCCGAGTACTAACAATAAGCGGGTGAGGAGGTGGAGGCGAGCGTCGCCAAGCTGGTAAGCAGCAGGATGGGGAGGAGGCAGCGCGGAAGCGGCAAGTTTCCACACGCAGTAGATGAGATGAGAGCTGCTCAGTAATTGCTGGGTCTTGGGTGCGACTTCCACTGCGTCTAAGGTAAAATGAATCCTATGATCAAGGCTGTCGGGACCATTGGTAAGGTAGTACTTGTAAAGCCCATGCATTCAATGCTGAGCCCCTAGAGCTGAGGGCTTTAATAAGTGGCACTATTGTTCTGCGGGAAGAGACAGATCTATGACTGAGACCCAGGATTTGTGAAGTAAAAAGACACTGCTATGACCTTTGAACTAACTTAAATACTGAGAATACCCTAAAATGCCAGCAAATTGTATAATGTTAAATGGACAAAATGCATGGTATGGGCATTGCATTTCAATAAAACTGTTTAAAATATTATAAGCTGGACCTTTGCATCCTCTGCCTCTGTATTGCTAACATAATCCCTGGAACAGGCTTGTGCAATACCTTTGGTTGGAAATAAGGTGAGAGGGATAAGACAAATGGGGTAGGCAGAAGAGAGAGCTCTCTATTTTGCTCCTAGACCTCATCTATCCCCCAGGAAAGCCATTAACACCTCAGCCAATGTTTGGAATTATCCTGTGGAAGAGGCAGGGGACCCTTTCTTTTAGATGCCTTCTGAGGTTAGGACATGGTTCCTTAGAATGGTCCGTTCATTCTCTTCTTTGTGCAAAAGAAAACACAAGAGACATGGTTGCTGATGCCATTGATGCTAAATGTTACAATGAATGCCAGACAATGACAGAGGTGTTGGGGAATCAATAGTCATCACTTGATCAGTTATGTTTCACTTTTCTTCACATACAAGTTATGCTCATACGGTAGCCTGAAAATAAAAACTAAAAGCCTGGATCAAGCTGAAGAATGAATGATCAAAACAGTGGAATGTAGATGTGCTTGCCTACAATTAACACTGTCTGTAATGTTCTTCCCACTGGTGCTAAATGGAGGCTGAAAGACTGTGGAGTAGCTCCCCAAACCCACACTCCACAAGTGCTTCTTTCCATGGGAAGAAGCCCAAGCGGACTTGGATGCTCACTGTCACTTGTTAACTATGCTCCTTGTTTTATTCTTATGGGAATGTGGTCACTGCCACCCTGTACCACAGACAGTAACCATGGGTTCCGTACTGCAGTGACGACTCACACTGTCCTCTGCCCCATAATCTGTGCAAAGTGGCTCTTCACTGCCAAGTACAGACAGCAAGAAACTGAGAAGTCATGATTTCTTTGGCAAAAACCACAAGTACCAATACAGGTGCTAAGTAAATCCATAAGAGGCAGAAGCTGTATAAATCAACTTATACCAGCCTTTGAAAACACAGGAAAATGTCTGTGTCTTTTCTAACTATCACTTTCAAATTCTCTAAAACTTAATAAGCATTAGTTTTTCAAGAACAGAGAGCTACATACTATTATTCATTTCAGTAAAACAGGAACATAAATCAATATCCTTTAAAATTTTGTCTCATAGTAGGTCAGTAATCCCAAATTAAGAAATAAAGGTAGTGACATATACATCACACACACACACACACACACTGAGGGACCAAGGCTCAGGGAAAGTCATAGAAGGAAGAGGGGAGATTGTCAGAACCAGAAGTCAGGGAGGACTGCTACAAAATAGTGTCTTTTGGACATGTCAGGGTCATTGCACTGTCACACCCAAGAACTACAGAAGTTCAAGCCAGTCAGCACTCCAACATGGACTGGGGAGGGGCTGATAAGACTAGTCCTCTAGCTGAAAGTTACTGGCAGTTGATGACTGCTAAAGGAGGGCTAGTCAGTTTCCTTTGCTAGTATGGCCCATGTTCCACTGGGTGGCCCTACACCAATGTACATATGGACAGCACTAATTGAACTCACTGGGTTAAAAATACCGTAGAAATAAAAATAAATTAAAAGTATTTTTAATGAAGCAGAAGACATGAAGTTGGGAGGAGGATGGGCCAGGAGGAGTTGAAGGGGTAAATGGAGGTAGATATAATCTAAATACATCATATCGATGATTAAAATTACCAAACAATATATAATTTAACTTTTTAAATATTTTTCATCCTGTGAGTTTAGTCGGAGACTTCTTTATATGTACTTTTATTGAATTTTTGTGCATTTCATAGAATAGATCTTAATCAAATTTAGACCCTCTCCCCCACCCAAGTCCCTAATAGCCCCCTCAATGGATATCATGCATTCTGTCATATATGTTAAGTCCTATCCAGTCAAGCATTTGTACCAAGATGTCCCTCAGGGCAAGTTCTTCCACTGGAGTCTAGTCAGTCTTTCTAGACTCACACCCTTAAAGAAGATCTACTCTCCCTCATCCTCCACTAATCAGTTGCAAATCGTTCTTCAGCTAAGATTGGGGCCTACTGCCCATTTCCCCAGTTCTACACTGGGTTTTTGTGTGACTGCGACAGCATGGGTCTTGTGCATGCTGTCACCATTGCTGTAAGTTTGTATGAGCAAGTTCCCAGAGGTCCGAAAGCCTACATAGGACTCCTATATTAACCTCAGCCACCCAGGGCTCAGGGACCGTTGAGGAAGAAAGGGGTGGAAAGACTGACTGTAAGGGCCAGGGAGGTCCATGAACATATTACTTTTATTTTATGTGTATGAGTGTATTGCCTGCATGTATGTGTGCCCGTGTCATGCAATGCCCACGGAGGCTAGAAAAAGGCATCAGATCCCCTGGAACCGGATTTATGGAGAGTTGTTAGCCACCATGTGGGTGCTGGGACTCAAACCCATGTCTTCTGCAAGAGCAGCCAGTGCTCTTAACCACTGAGCCATCTCTCCAGCCCCAAAGAATAAATAAGTTAAACAAACAGAGGGAGAAAAGGAGGAAGAAAGGAAAGAAGGACGTTGACAAGATTTCTAATCACCCCAGGAAGTTTTATCATTTGGGGTAAATTTTCTTTTTTTATACATTTCCTTTATTATTTATTTTTATTTTACATGTATAGTATATTGTCTGCATGTGTATAAGTGTACCCGTGTTGTGCAGTGCCCACAGAGGTCAAAGGAGGGCATCAGATTCCCTGGAAATGCAGTTAAGGACAATTGTTAGCTGCCATGTGGGTGCTGGGAACCAAACCTGGGTCCTCTGCAAAAGCAGCCAGTGCTCTTAACAACTGAACCATATCTCCAGTCCTGAGGGTAAATTTTCTTAAAAGAAAAAAAAATGTCTAGTTTGTTCTGGAATTTTCTAAAAAGAAGACAAGTCCTATGTCACACCAACTGAAGCGAATGTCCAAGGTCAGTATCTATCAAGTCTTGATGCTTCACTGCAGCCCAGCTGTAAGGAGACTAGAGACACCTTCCTAAGCTGTTATCTTAAACTTAATATATGGAAGCTACTAGCCAGCGTATGAGAATACAGCTTCCCTCACTCACTCCTGCTCCCCTGAGATGAGCTCAGGGACATGAGTACGGCCAATATTCAAGGTGACCCTGAGGTACAGGTCCCGACTGTCTGTAGTAAACTGCTCCCTAAGAAGACAATGAAATAATAAATGTGCCTGGGAGCTGGAGAGAGGGCTCAGTCTGTAAAGTGCTTGCTATGCAACTTGAGGACCTGAATTCAGA